ATACAGCTCATAAACTATTTATGTGTTTATATATATGTATGTGTGTATGTATACAGCTCATAAACTATTTATGTGTTTATATATATGTATGTGTGTATGTATACAGCTCATAAACTATTTATGTGTTTATATATATGTATGTAGGTATACAGATCATAAACTATTTATGTGTTTATATATATATATATGTATGTAGGTATACAGATCATAAACTGTTTATGTGTTTATATATATGTGTGTATGTATACAGCTCATAAACTATTTATGTGTTTATATATATATATATATGTGTATGCATACAGCCCATAATCTACTTATGTGTTTGTATTGTGTATATATCTATGTATATTTTTGCCACAAAATTAGGTTCTCCAAAAACATGTTCCTTTTAGTAACCCTAGGTGAGAAAATCATAGATTAACGTCTCATTAACGGTGAGTTATGTTTTTGAAGCTGATATATACTTTCATGATTCAACTTTCAACCATTCCATCATGTTAGAGGTGTTTGTTTCATGTTGATTTGCTGACTGTTACTCCTGTTACTCTATTTATAGCATCTAGTTACTAGATATAATGCTATCTCTCTCTCTGTTGTTGAGTTATTTATATCTTTAGCACATTAATGCTGATACTTGTATCGTTGTAATCGTTTATTTGTTCTATGTTGATTTGCTGACTGTTACTCCTGTTACTCTATTTATAGCATCTAGTTACTAGATATAATGCTATCTCTCTCTCTGTTGTTGAGTTATTTATATCTTTAGCACATTAATGCTGTTACTTGTATCGTTGTAATCGTTTATTTGTTCTAAAGCAGGTTATTACTCGGTAAAATATGTATAACCTTTTATTTTTAGGGTTATTTGTACGACATTCCAAATAAAATGGCTTTGCTCTGTATTTTTGGAAAATGATAGTTTATTCATATTCAAGCTAGGATATTTTATGATTTGACTATGCATTATTTGTATTTACTATCTATATAATATTTCAGGCTCATAAAACGAATAACAAATTACTGAGAGTAAAAAAACTTACACGAAAATACCTCATTTTGATTGTGACCATGAAAGTAGCTTGCTTACAAAATAAAAATACGAAGAAATATGGCTTATTCTAGAGTCATTTCTTTCAGCTTTATTTTCCAGTTGACTATTTCTATTTCCTTGATAAATCTTTACATGCACAACCCCAAAATGAAACTTTCAAGTAAAGCATACTGAAGATATCTGCCTGTGAGTGTTGGTGTTTGCATATGTAAATACACAAGTGGAAGAAAAATGACAGCGTTTTGTTTGTCTTTTCAACAGATAGGCTAGAGGGAAGGCGTTTAGTCAATAACTCACATCGCCATCTCTTGGACTACCTTGGTCCAACCGAATAGTAGTGCGCTTTCTTGCAGAAACGGGATTCAAACTACAAGCCATTAGCTCCACAATCCCGGTACTATAACGACAAAGCCTCGCCCTGCCGAACACATGCGCGATCTGTGCAGAAATTGTATTTTACATAAAACGATATTTATAATTTTTAGTTGACCATATGCCTTAGGTACTGTGCGTTAGTATTTCAATCTGTATCTGGGAGGTTCGGTTCTGAATTATCCCACTGTACAGCTAATATGCCTAGAGTCACTCTAGTAAGACTTCTACATGTAGTGGGTGATGAATAAACACGTAATCACGTGTACACCTGGATGGTGGAGCATCCTTCTAGCTCAGTAAACCATGAAAGTCTACTCGTAAACCCCTAGGCCTTTTGTTTAATTGGAAATATGCTTTCTTTCAGAGGGCGCAGCTGTCATCATTGCTTATATAACCTTCACCTTAATGACAAGTAGCCAACAAAACATTAAAAAAGATTTCATACCTTACATTAGCATTCAATTCTTCCATTTTGATTGATCTATTTTTGATAGTGAGTCAAGTATATTGAGAAGGCCATAAGAGAGGCGTGTTTGAGGCTAATATTTCTTTGATTGCTTGACAAACTACACAGTCACATATTTAAACTTATATTAGTAGAACTTAATACTTTCCTACGTGCCTACCATGCTCCTCCAAACTCCATTCTTTGTATTATAGCAGACAGCTCGTGATTACGCGACATATAATGGTTAAATCAACAAACCAAAAATTTGAAATATAACAAATATTGCAATATATAACGGTTACTTGGTGTAAAATATAATGGTTAAATCAACAAACCAAAAATTTGAAATATAACAAATATTGCAATATATAACGGTTACTTGGTGTAAAATATAATGGTTAATCAACAAACCAAAAATTTGAAATATAACAAATATTGCAATATATAACAGTTACTTGGTGTAAAATGTCTATATCAGATTATTGGAATCATGGTAAACCATAGAAAATACCTCACACCACTAAAAACAATTGTAAAAATCGATACGAATAATTATGCCAGAAAATTAGATATAGAACGATCATGACTAATGGTTTAAAATCAAATATTGTAAGTGAAAAGACCTGTGACGATCAAGGTATGTGAATATAGATAACATGATAAAAACCAACAACATTACTTCTTGGAACTGGTGATAAAATTAAGATATTTTCAATATTTAATGGTAGTAAAATATCAAACATTTTGAGAATGTCAAGACTTATTTACAGGATGCGATAGATAAAGAAAATTAGGTACCTCTGCTAAACCAAAAAAGTCAGTCACAAGGAGTGTTATAAACAAAGTTCGTAAAGATATGATAAGTCCTGTTCTCGTTATGTTCAGTTTGTACAGTCATTTTAAGGTCTGTTCTCTTTACGTTCAGTTTGTAAAGATATGATAAGTCCTGGTTTTCTCATACTCAGTTTGTAAAGCCATGATAAGCCGAGTGTTGTTATAAATGGAGTTCAGTCAAACTGGATTAATGTCACAAATGGGATACCTCAGGCCTCAGTATTAGGATCTTTGCTCTTTTTGATTTACACCAATGACGTAGATGAAGGAATAATCAATAAATTACATAAATTTGCAGATAATATTAAGGAAAAAATTGAATATAAAATCACGAAGAACTATCGTGTTATGTCCTTACAAACTAAACAAAGAACACCAGGACTTATCATATCGTTACAAATTGAACAAAAGAACACCAGGACTTATCATATCTTTACCAATTGAACATAAGAACACCAGGACTTATCATATCTTTACCAATTGAACATAAGAACACCAGGAATTTTCATGTCTTTACAAACTGAACATAAGAACACCACGACTTATTATATCTTTGCAAACTGAACATAAGGACAACAGAAGGACTTATCATGTCTGTAGAACCTGAACATCAGAATAACGGAACTTATCATGTTTTTACTAATGAAAATTTAAGCAGTATTCCATATCTTGAACAGCTGATAGATGGAAACAAGATCGAATTCAATGAATGCATTAATTCTGAGCTGGTTAAAAATAATTGAGCAGTTTAAAAAACGATAGGCCTCCTGGATCAAATAATATTTCCCCAAGGGTTTTGAAGGAGGTTAAAGATTGGATATGTGAACCACTTACTTATTTTTTGTCAGTCCTTGAATAGTTGGCAGGTACCAAAGGATTAGAAGTTAGCTAATGTAAATCCTCTTTTCAAGGGAAGTGATAAAAATTGTCCCAGTAATTATAGACCCATTAGTCTTACATCAGTTGTGGGAAAAGTTTTGGAAAGTCTGTTAAAAGATGCTTTGCAAATTCATTTAACAAAGTTTAGAATTTTATTGAATAATCAACATGGTTTCACTATGGAAAAATATTGCCTTTCAAATCTTTTAACATTCTTTGGAACGGTTACTGCTTATGTAGATGATGGTAAGGATGTAAATTTTGTGTATCTAGATTTTCAGAAAGCATTTGACAAGGTGCTACATAAAAGGCTTGTAAAAAAAACTAGCTCTATAGGTGTGGGGATAAGTTAGCAAATTGGATAGAAGAGTGGCTGGATGGAAGAAAGTTGTTTTCTTAA